GTGGCACTTTGTTATAGCATTAGTCTTGTGGCATTTTTAAACACTCCATTTGAAATATCATTCAACTCATAATTTTTTTTTCAGTCTTGATTGTTCTTTATGGTTTTTATAGGATAATTAAAATAAAAGAACAGGTTTTATTTTGAAAAATCAAATTAAAAGGCTATTATTTTTTTAAAATGATTCTTGTTTATCTGTAGACAGTGTGACACAGGTAAATGAAAAAATGGCTAAGTTGGAATATGAGCTTGGAACAGAACAAAAACTATTTTTTAAGCAGAGACGGCTTGAAGAATGTTACTTTGTTGTTTTGAAGAAAGATATTACCAGAGAGGCCATCTGGAAAAGCTGGACTGACAATTGATGGCACTGCCTTAAAGTGGAAGTTATAAAATAATCTAAGAGCCAGCCAGAAAAAAGCCAATTGAGAAACTGATTTATTCCCCCTATGGAATTTCTTAAGATAAAGGTCCAGGTTCATAAGTGCAATAGAATGAACAAGATATGGCAAATACTTACTAATAGCTGTTGGAGGAAACATTTGGTAAATTTCTGATTATAAATACAAGACCCAAACTGGGAAAAATGTGCTGACAAAAATTAAAGTGACAATTACAGTTAATGACCAGAGGTTAAGCTCAACCCTTTTGCCTACAAAGTTTAAAAATTGAATTTGTCAAAATGACAACCGAGGTGAAAGACTTAGGTGAGATACCAAGAGAAATGGTAAAATTGCCTAGGCCCAATGGGATTAATGGTGTGAGGCATAAATATTGGAAATATGGGCAGCTCAGTAGCTGTGACCACTGCCCATAGGAAAAGGGACCTCTCAACTTTGGAGAAAGAATTAATTTTCCAAAGACAAACAACAAAGAACTCTTGTTGGAAGATAGGGGAAACACAGAGTCCCCCAAACATGTCAGTCCTCATGCCAGTCTTGGGTAAAAGTCAACATAAGCAGAACAATTAAGCGATCAACCCCAGAGTTGCAGTGAGGTTGAGAAGTAGATGACGAGAGATGTTCATGCTGCCAAAGCCCACATGACTTGCTGCCAAAAAGAACTCTGACTTCAGCCTTGTTCCAGACTTGGCTAAAATGAGCAAAGTATCATGATAGAATTCAAAGTAGGAAGGGTTAATATTTCTGTACAAATAATGATATAAACCACATAGGAAATTCTTTGGGTCAAATCTGTCTTTTATTTCATCTGCAAAGAACATTTTTTTTATTTTTCCTTTGTGACATGGCTTTGCCATGGTTTGAACCAGCACTGCGATTGCTGAAAACATATCAGTCTTTGTCACCTTCATGATCAAAAAGCACAACGTGGTGGAACAGAGTGCAAACTGGGATGGCCACTTCACCAATCAGCAGTATTGACCAGTGTAGGAATTGACCCAGGACTGACCGGAGAGAAGTGTCATATCAAGGGCAAAAAAGAATCTATATTGATGGAAAATTAAAAGTTATTTATGGAAATAACATAACTATAGTTTGGTTTATTACTTTATAGTTAAACAAATTTAGAAAGTGCATCTCATAAATCTGCAAACAGAAAAATCTTTCATCTAAAGGATACTTTCACACTGTCAAAAAAAAAAAAAAAAAAAAGAAAAAAGTGGGGGTTGTAATTCACATAAATAATATGACTAAAACCAGAAACTCGTTGCTGTTACTTGGCAGAAGTTTCAGAAAACTACTTGGCTAAATAAATCTGAAAAATTTGGCTTGTCACTTGCTAAATATTAAGTTTGGTTTGGTTGATTTTGTTTAGCAACATATCAACCTCTATGGTTATTTAATACCAAAATCTAAATATTTTGAATGCAATTTTATTACTTCAACTAAATATGTTTTGAATGTAATTGCAGGTCTTCAATTGCAGATAAATATGTATTGTTGGTAAATTTACTATAAAAATATATTTTTATACTTTCATAGTATTTTTAAAAAATTTTTTTTTGTTTCAGGGGTTTACTATTTGCCTATAGCTGGGATCCTAACAGGTGCCACCACACCAGGTGAGGGTAGACCTGGGAACAACAGTAATTAAGGTGGTCTTTAAACCTCCAATCTCCCAATTAGAGGCCCTTGCTCCTGGAAGTATTTTATTATCATACCCAGTACTACTAAATATTAGGGCAAACATTTTGTGTGTGTGTGTGTGTGTGTGTGTGTGTGTGTGTGTGTGTGTATAAAAAAATCAAGCAACCCATGGTAATGGAGAGTTAATGAAAATACCAAATTTACGTATAATGAAGATATATAGAATGGATTCATGTTAAATAGAAGAACATGCTATGTAGTTCATGTAATGTCAATTTTTTTCAGAGAGAAATATAAAGTAATTTATACTGGAATTTTTGAGATGAGGAATTATATTTTTGCATTCAAACTAGTCTATTGTAAATGAGCATATTAGTTTGAATAAAAGATAAATAAATTTTGATAACTAGCTTTTTTATGTTTTTACCAGGCTGTTTATATAGGATGTGGCAGAAATACCTCCCAGATAATGTTAAGACATTAGCTTGATAGAGAGATACCATTGCCACTAATGTCTTGGCATTATGTGGAAGGTATTTCTGCCATACACTATATTAAATTTGTACTTTAAAAAGGTTAAATCATTTTTTCTATAGTTTATCATGCCGTTTAAAATTTAATTTCTTATCAAAACGTATACACCAAATCACCATAGTTAGTGAACATTGTTCTTTTTAGATCCTCATTCAATTGCATATTTCAGTTACCCAAAAAATAAAAACACTTAAGCTTTCATATTTTAGGAACATTTGAACATACTAGTCAGATGAGGGAGTAAGGGAGTGCTGTAAAGTTCTTGGCCCATCTAATACAGGATTCAAAGAAAATTCTAATATTTGGTCAGATTTTAGAAAGTGGGATTAGCTGAGAATTTTTCAGCACCTACTCATGTGTGGATATGCATGAATACAAACAAGAAAAATGTTCTTTACCTTCACAAAAACTCAAAAATTAAAACTGGACATTTTTCAGATTAAAATATATATGTATATATATATATATATATATATATATGATAAAAATATAGTATGCTATATTTATGGGTTAAAGTGCTCAATATCAGTGATAAAGTATATGTAAAAGTTAACATTGAGGTCAACACCTAGTGGTGATCATCAGTTTCATGCTTAAATGCAATCTTCAGGCCAGATGTGTTGTATTTTGGCTTGACTGTTGATACAAATGCTGGTCAATGGTGCACTATAGGTAAGTCTGTTCTATTATTCTGTCAGTTATTGGGTGAGCAGTAACGGTTATGTTTAAAATTATTCTAGGGTACACCGAGTAGAAATAATTGTGGATCCGAATGCAGTTTTGTGGATATACTTTTAATATATACAATAATTTGAAACATAACCATAACTTCTCACTCAATAACCATTAGAATAATACAATAGACCTACCCCTAATGTACCATTGACCAGCATATATAAATAGTCAAGCCAAAATACAAGACATATGGCTTGAAGATTGTGTTTAAGTATGAAACAGACTGATGCCACTGGGTATAGACCTCAATGTATGTTTGTGTTGAAAATTGTAAGCTTAAAATAGAAAACTTACTAGTTATTAGTATCATAATTAATTCTTGTTGCTTAGCTAGCTGTTAATAGCAAGCAAATACTACCATAAATGTTTAATTTTAATTTCAAAAGAAAAGATATTTTTAAACAATTCACGAGACTATATCATATAACAAAAACTTTCTGAGATTGAGTAAGCATATCCAACTTGTATAGATTTTATACAGGGTGATTGAAAAGTAACTCCCTATTGAGTGGCCAGCCAGGAAACCTGACTTAGCACCCTTGAATTTTTCCTTTGAGGTTGGTAAGAGGAGCAAGTCTACTATCAGTTATGTGCCATGCATGATACATGCTTAGGTGATCATGTATCTTTCGATACATGACTGATGAGGCAGATTTTTTTCTGCAGTAGGTTGCCATTTCTTTCTGTGGTAGACCAGTTGCCATCCCAAGCTGTAGAACCCGGTCTGTCCTGCTATTTACCCGTAGCTGGTGGGAGAAGAAGAGGATAACATACCTTTCCCAAGGGTATTAGCATGTAAGTGAATGGAATGAATTTGACTGGAATTTGAACTTGGCTCTCCGATTCCTCAATCTGAACCACTATCCATTAAGAACTTGAAGGGTGGTATGTCCTGGAAAGGGATATATTTGTTCGGAGTAGCAAAGTGGTTTTGGAATACTGTAACCGAGTAGGACAATCTAGCAGGTAACCGTAATGGACTGGTCCTCGTCAAAGTGGTAGGCAATAGGCGAAGACTATAGGTGTAAGTCAATAAGCGTCATCCATAGGCATAGTCATGTACCTCCATATCAGTCTGTATTTATGGCTGACACCAGCCAATCATATTACTGTAAGGGGGAACCCAGGTGTATGCATATTCATTACATCAAAGGGTGAATACAAGAAGTTATGTCTTTCATATCACAAGAGTTCCTGGTGAAATCAGTTGACATGATTCCTGGGTGGCTTGAGAAGGTGGTAGTGAAATCTGGTGCCCATATTGAATTTTAAATAAAATTTCATGATAAACGCTTTCCTCTCATATCCATTTCTTGTAAAAATTATAGTTAACAAATTATAAGTATTTTAAAATGGAGAGTTACTTTTCTATCACCCTGTATTATAATGCACTTCAGGATTTGAAAGTTTTCTGAAAATTATCTGCTCTACAAAGTAACAAAAATATTCCAATAAACTCTTTCAACCTACACCAAAATGTACAAAATTCAAGGTTCCACACAGAATAAGTTATAAATATTCTTATTTTAACCTAAACCAAAGAGATACAAAGAGGAAGATGAA